GGGGGAGTTTCTCAAAATATTAATTTTGGTTAAGCTTTTTGGGTTTTAAAGTCACGTGTATTAAAAATTTTAACGGGCTATTAGTGAAGAATTTAATGGGAGAAATTCAAAAGTAGCCAAATTTACATGTGATCATTCAAAAATAGCCACAGTTTCAAAAGTAATCGAAATTTAGCCACTTTTCATGTAAAGATAAATTTGAACGAAAACATTGTTCAAAATCCGAAAAATACTCCAATATATTATACTAGAGTTCTAGTATAATATACTGAACTTCTAGCATAATATACTGGAGTTCCAATATAATATACCGGTCCAGTATAATACGCTGGAAGTTCATACACAGGTGCTCCAATCTCTAGTATATTATGTTGGAACTTTCCGCGTGTTGAAGTTCCAGCATAATATGCTAGAAGTTCATACATAGGTGCACCAATCTCCTGTATATTATGCTGGAACTCTCCGTGTTGCGCCAAAATAGTGGTTACTTTTCAATGACTTTGCAAACGCCGGCTATTTTCAATGACCAGTCCGAAAACTGGCTAGCCCGTGCTATTTTTACGAATTTAATAGGAACATATTTTGCAGATTTAGATTTTTAATAGGTCAAACTACAACGTAATTAACAAGTGTAGTATTCAACAATATCAGTTGCTTATCCCTAATTAGCAAACCATTATGTACCAAACTTCTAAACGAAATGTAAGTTTCAAAATTCAAGAGAATTTCACAAGATAGCAAAACAAATTAAGGAATTACAATCACATACCTCTAAGATGAAAAAAAGAAGAAGTTGGGACTTGGTCAGTTTTGTTTTAAAGATAATTTCCTAGTTCATACTTCATAGGCAAACATATAAATGAAGCAAAAGAGAAGCCAAAAAAGCTCAAATTTCTAAACTTGATCCAAAATAGACGGGCATCTCAAAAAAATGAAGGATGGGCAGTGCCACTGGGCGGTGAGCATAGTGTATAGGAAAGAATTAAATGGGTACACCGGGATTCACAAATTTATTGGAAGCAAACGTAGTTGACTGATTAATACGCTATACTGTAGTAAAATCAGTAGCATTCTCTATTTTCTTGGATATAATATGAATCCAGACAAGACCCACGTGGATCAAACATGTGAAATTGCCAAAAGCAAAGTGTTCATTTTCTCTTGGGTGCAATGTCACCATAAAAACTTATCAATAAATATAAAGATTCATCTGATTATATGATATTTTCATGCTAATTTTGACTATTAAAGTTAAAATTACATGTAAATATCTAAGTGCGGATAAATATTTTCGTTGAAATTTGACTTTAAGGAACGACAAAAGAAAAGAGAAAAACCAAGTGGATTTATAATGTACACTATAAAAGTAGTATGAGAACAAGAACACTCTGAATTCGCCATTGTATATTAAGCATCTTTTACTTGAAAGTACTAGAGAGATAGTTAAGACATTTGAATTGCTTGAAAATTACCTGGTAGAAAGCTGAAGCTTGTATTTACAAGATTGTAATTCTTTGGTTTTAAGAAAGAAATTATATGAATGCTATTTAATTTGGAGTTTCTGAATAAAAAGAGAAGAAACCACCAACTGGGTAGTGAGAAATATATTTAGAAGAGAGCCTCAAAGAAAGCTTATTTATGAGCAATCAATTGGAAGAAAGGGAAGATTTGATGCTGAGGAAAGTGAGGACGCTATTGCTCTCTAAGTCCAGACAAAAGTGCGTACATACAAAATGTGTTGCAAATTACCCGAAATACTCTTGATTAGTTCCTTTCTATATTCCAATATTTAAGGTCAAGTTTGTCAATTTGAGACTTGGTTTTATATCATGTCGTCTATAGACAAACCTGGAATTATGTAAATATCTTTAAGTACATGCCAAGAGGAAAGAGGCAAGTTTGGTTAGATTTTCTTTCGGTGGCGCTTTACTTGGTCGACCTGTACCCACTTTTTAATTTTTTCTTAGCTTATATTCACCGTTTAAACAACTTCAGGCTTTTTTTTTCTCTTTCTTCTTCTTCTTTTTCGGATAACGATGATTTTATACGGTGTTTGTGAACATATTTTAAGGTAGTTTATGATGTTTTACAATGGTGATCTGTTGTGGCACTTATTTTTTACTATTGTTTAGGGCTTCTTCTTTTTCTTTTTCTTAATTGCAAAATGAGCTCGTTAGATTTATTGTTGTTTTGACAAATTGATGATTGAGGTTTGTTCTTAATGATATTTGGAGGTTATGTTTCAAATTTGAGCTCATTTGGAGTATATTTAAGTATTAAATCGTATATTAGATTGTCAAAGTTCGAAGAACAAATTTCTATTTCTTGGCAATTTGCACTTTAGGCCTATTTTGCCTTAAGTGCATGCAAACGCCGATTGCATTTCAGACATTTTGGCCTTAAGTGCATCTGAAGTGCAAATTTTTATTTCAGACTTATTGGCCTTAAGTGCGTGAAACTGTTGGTTGCACTTCAGACCTATTTGGCCTTAAATACATCTGAAGTGCAATTTTTCATTTCAGACTTATTGGACTTAAGTATAGGAAAATGTTTGTTGCACTTCAGACCTTTTGGCCTTAAGTGCATCTGAAGTGTAATTTTTCACTTCAAACTTATTGGCATTAAGTGCATGAAACCATTGGTTGCACTTCAGATCTATTTGTCCTTAAGTGCATCTGAAGTGTAATTTTTTTCACTTCAACTAAATTTTTTTTAACTTCAGACACGATAAGTCTGAAGTTGATCGTAAAACAGGTAAGCTTGCAAATATTTTTGGAAAGTGGGTATAGGTTCAATTGTGATCCCAAAACTGTAGCTTAGGGAGTAGTGGAGTTCGTTTCCTCCGATCGATTTCCCTTTAAATATAAAAGCTCCATGCAAATAAGAAGAAGTATGGCAGTGTTATTACTCCATTAGCTAACATTTTTTGTGGCAGAGTAGGAGCTGGCAATAAGCGTGGATATAAGTTAGAAATATAATGTTCATTATAAATTGTGGTTGGGACTAACCTTATTGGCATCGTTCAATATACGGAGTAGTAAACACCTAGAGTTTTGGGCTGGGTATATATCGGGTAAAATCTATAGCCCGAACCCTTAATTGTTTATTAGATTATCGATATCGGGTTATTGGGTTAACGGTTCGGTAACGGTTTAGAATTTTTTTATTATTGGGTTATCGGTTCGGGCCTCGGTTTGTCAATTTTGTTACTTAATAAAATTATGACTTTACCTTTAAGTATATACAAATGTTAGGGTTTCAGTTCATTCTCTCCTATTCTTTCTCAACCCCACTCTTCAGTTGCTTCATCTTCATTCTTCATAAATCTTACTAGTTACTCCTAGCGTAAGTCTTTAGTATACTATATGTGAATTCATCTCTTTTTTGCTTAACTCCAGTGAATTGTCTTTTCTTTTTTGCTTAACTCTAGATTGAGTTATCTTATCGGGTAAACCGATAACCGAAGCGATAATGATCGATAACCGATTAACCGATACCCGATAACCGATATCTTATCGGTTCGTTATCAGTTTATCAAATTTGTAAACCGATATGCTAAACCGATAATATTCATAACCGAACCGAATCGACCGATGCCCACCCCTACTAGAGTTGATCTAAAAAGGGTAAAACTTTCGGGACTATGTTCGGATGATTGGAATGTTTGCGTTGTGCACATTATATAACTTGAATTATCCACTGGTTATATTGTTTCTTGCATGTACGCGCAATGCTCTCATGTTAGAGTTTAAGTTTCTGTGCACCGACAGTGCATAAATATTTAACATTATCAAGTAAAATTGATCCACAATAATAGATAATTTCTTATGTCAAGCCTAATATCATGATAACTTGAAAATTAAAGTGGGACCTATTATAACCAATTAAATTGACTAATAATATTGTAATACTTATTTAGAGTATGTTTGGTTAAGCTTATAAGTTAGTCAAACTGAATATATTGATCGCACCATCCGTATTTATTTATACTATCATACTTGTTCGGTTTATCTCTTTCAACTTAAATCCCATGAGGCAGACATTAGAAAGTTTTAACATAAGCAGGGATTCGCAAATCTTTCAAACGTAGAGCGTGCAGGGCTTGCGTATAAGTTACTTTTGGCTATGCCTTTAATAATACCAAAAGTGGTTATAAGCCAAGTACTTATATCAGTCAAAAGCTCTCTCTCTCTCTCTCTCTCTATATATATATATATATATATATATATTGACTCCCCTTAATTTTCTGGTATGTTTACTTTTATATATTTTGACACCCCTTAACGAAATTCTGGATCCGCCACTGGCCAAAAGTAGTTTGAAATATCTAATCGTGACGTAATAATAAGTTCCAAGTAGCAAAGAAATTAGTAGAAAATAAGACAATTTAATTTGCATGCCAAATAAAGTGTTGCCTATACTCAGTAGTTGTGATAGAATGATTAACCATTACCCTCTGATAAGGCAATTAAAACATTAAAAGAAAGAAGAGTAGTTATTTTGTGTATGAGTAGTTACTCTCATACTTTCAATTTATTTTAAAATGAAATTCATGACTTAATGCTCATGTTTGGCTGTGACCCTGACCAGAAGAAGAAGTTGAAGAGTAGTGTACAGGTCCAGCTTCAAGAGCAGAAGGTGTAATTTCTGAAGTTTTATTAGCATGCAACTTATGTGCTTCTTCTAACTCTTTCTTAGTCCTTATAATATCATCTTCTTCATGGAAATCTTCTTCTACAGAGAGTACCACAGTCTCAGGTTTCCCATGGGGTCCTTGAACAATAGCTTCCTTAATTCTCAAATGCTCATCAATGTGCTTCACTTCTTTTTCTTCAACTACTGTTGTCTTCTTCTTTTTCTTCAAGTAGCAGCAGAAAGAAAGTATTGCTAGGCCAAGTAAAATGCAACCGAACGTCGAGAAAACGAATATTATTATGATATAACTATGAGGGGGTGATGGTGGTGGTGGTGGAACAAATGGTGGAGGATGAGGACGAGGAGGCGGAGGAGGAGGAGGGTGGGGTTTTGGTGGTGGAGAGATGGGATGAGGAGGAGGGGGTGGTGGAGGAGGGAGATGTGGAAATGGGAAGTTATTCATATTGTTAGCCATAGTTATGTATAATCTTGGAAAGTTGATAAGAATTTTGGTGCAAGTTCTTGATACCTTTTAATGTTGTGATGAAGAGTAGTAGTAGAACTCTGCTTATTTATAAGTACGGAATTTGAAGTTTTTTCTTCTTCTCTATCTGTCTCTCTCTTGGTTCTTTTTGTTCTCTTTTAATTAATGTAGGGAATGCTTCCAAGTAAACAGAGACTTGGCTCTCATGTGAAGATTTAGGAAGGCTTAATATTTATGTTTTGATTGTAGTAGAAAACATTTTTTCTTTAGCTTTACTTCTTTCTCCTTAATACTCTTTTGCTTAAGTGATCTAGTGTCCTACACCACAAGACAGGGGGACATTGACACGATCACACGAAAGGTTTTGAGAGCTTCTATTCTATAGGGTAGAGTTGCACCATAACAATTTAACAGATTCTATTCTATAGGGTGGAGTTGTGCCAGATTCTTTAAGCCCCATGGAAAAATGACACAGAAAAATATTATGTTTACCCCAAGAATGAGTAACAATTAAATGGTACGTGGTTTTATTCGATACGAATAATTAAGAATAATAGATAGATGAATTAAAGACAAAATAAACGATCAAACCAATTGCATTGTAATGACCAAGCCAGATATTAGATTGAACAGTGGGACTCGTCCTCGATTGGGCCCTTGGTACAAGCTCGGTCGTGAGTAAAGAAAGGAACAAACATCTTTCCCCGCAAAAAGGAGGTGTGATTGTTGATACCCAATTTTTTCCTATAATATTTTCAAAACTATGCATTGGCATCAATTGGTATTTTTCATACAATTTCTGCATTTTTAAAAAAATAAAAAAAGATCTTAATTAATTTATCCCAGTATTTTATTTATCAAAAAAATCACTGATTGCATCACAAATAGTTTTATACTAATTTTGTGACTTAATTTCATCATTTGCATTTGTACTAAGCTTCAATTATTGCACAAATAGCCACATTTGTACTTTTATGTTACAATTACAATTACTTTGCAATTATAGCCCATGCATGCATTATTACATTATTTTACCGAGAAATAGCCTTTTATATTTTTAGAATATTAACTAGTTATTTTAAAACATTTCTAGGCATGAAATCATTTTTTAATTTATTAACTAGTTTTAAAAAAATTATTTTTATCAAATAAATGGATATTTAACAAATGACCCCTTTTATTTCAGACCTAGCCTAATTAAATCGCCCAATCTCAATTCAATTAAAATTAGCCCAAACACACCCAGGCCCAAATTTGACCTACTCGACCTAATACCCCACTCAATCCTGACCGTTGATCATTCAGATCAACGGTCCACATTTTTCTTACCTTAATTAAACCTAGACCTAACCCCCCCCCCCCAAACCCCTCTCGTTCACTCCTCTCACCCACCGTCACCCCTTCCCTCTTCTCTCAACTCTCTCGACTGAACCCTAGTTCTAAAACGCCGTCACCGGCATGTATCTCAAGCCTGTGATGTTTCCATGTCTTCTCCGCCCGGTCCTGGCCTTCTACGCACCATGGCTCCTTGACTTCTTAGATCCTTGAGACAATCTCGAGGAACCCAAGCGGTTCTGGTTCGACACTTTGCTTACTAGCATGTCTCAGGCCATTTTCTCGACTGTGAGTAAGAGTTTCCTCTTGTTTTGCTATGAATCTACGGTCTCTTGACCTATTCTCTCATCTCTATTACTTTCATGAAAAACCCCTAGTCTGATATTCTCGATCCTTCTCAGATCTGTATAGATCTGAGATGAATCGAGCACTATTACCTGTTTTCTTTGAAAATATCTGGTTTTAACTGATTATTCCGGCTTTTCCCTAAAACTAGGGTTCGTCCCAAGTTGTTTTCAAAGGTTTTCTGACTCCTAAAGTGTTTGATTAGTTATTTTTCGTCCTCATGACTGATTTGTGCAAAAATACTTAAACCATAGTTGATTCTCTGATTTTCTAACCTTTGCTACGATTCCGGGTAATTTCTGTGTTACCAGTCATATTACTTTGCTCTATTTCTTGGACCTAAACATTTTTTCTTTGTCAAATCTATTATTCTGTGGTTTTTCCCTAATTAGTCTCTATTAGGGCTAGAATCTGTATTTTCCGACTAATTTCTATGTTTCAGTGAAGTTTTACTTAGTCCATTTTCCCATTTATGGAAGTTGATATTTCTTTTCAGAAATCGGTATTATTTGAAAGTTTGGCTGATTGATTTACTCTATTAGAAATTCGTGTGCTTAATTCTTGCTTGTTTCCTTGTTTACGACCTTACTTGGTCATCCCTGCCTTATTTGATTGCCCGTATAATTATGGATTTTTACTAATTTCTTTACATGGTATGATTGAGATTCTTTTCTTAATTGGACCCCTGTTATTACCGTTTGGTCAATTATCCCTAATTGAGCGGGTCTATTATGAACTCCTTTATGCGATTGGATTCTCTGATTTCCTTAATTGATTGAATGTTGATTCCTTTTACCTTATTTGCTCTGCTCTTAAACTACTATATATACACCCTTATTTTTACCTCTCAAGGAAGGAACTAAGTTCAGAATACACACACACACACACACTCAAACTCTCTTTTCTTTCTCTGCTACTTGTGCTAATTGTTGGTCTAGCCGGCAGAAAGCCAAGGCTAGACCGTGGAACTATACTTGCTTTACATTCTGCACTTTGCTTTATTAACTGGTATGTCCCTAGTTCAATTCTGAAACTCGAACTCTATGTGTTCCATTCCTGCACTGGTTTAATTGGCTATGTGTTCAATTTGTCTTCCTATTTACTGTTTTATTCAGCAAGTCTAAATTCTGTCCTCTCTTGTTCAAGTGTGTAATCAGCATGTCTAAGTCTCACTCGTTTGTTTAGTACTTGGCCAGCATGTTTATTAGTCTTTGTTTACTCCCTTCAAATTGGTGTGATCATGTTAGCAACTTAGCCTCCTAATGAACCTGATTAACCCTAATTGTATGGCTAATCCTGTCCAATGCACCCCTGTTTTCAACATGATTTTTCTGCATTCCTGCTCTATATTTTATCTGCCTATTATCATGGCTAACTTGTTAAGTTTCTGAATCAATAGACTCCTAAGTGTTCTGTGCATTTGTTGTGTATATGCCTCCCCCTTCATGTGTCCCTGATATGAACTCTATATGTTCCCAACCCCCTTCACCCCTGTGTGTAAACTGCCTGTTAAATGGTTGTGATTCTAAGCATTCTAAGTGTGTGTGATTGTATCCTTGCTCTTCTCCGAACTGATTTCAAACTATTTTCCTCTCTTAGTATTTTCTTAAACTGTTTCTGCTCCTGAAAATCTTTCCACTCCTAAAAATTATCTCTATACTGTCCTTACTAAGTCTTTCAAAACTGTGTCAAGCACTCTCACCCTACTCTTAGACTATTAAGTTCTGCCCCTCTAGTGTGCATACTGCCTAGGAATCCATGAGATTCCTCCGAACTCTAGCATACTAGGGCTGGCCCTTCCACACTGCACATAACCAGTTCTCTATTTTGAGAAAGGTCTTGGTGTGAGCACTGCCCGGGATCCCTGAGGTCCTTAGGGAACTTTGACACACCAGGACATACTATTGGCTATGAGATTCTTGGCATCTGAGACTGTTCTGAAGGCCTGGAACTCCCAGGTTTATTTTGGGCCTGATTCAGGCTCCCTATAGCATAGTTTACATTTATGTAATTCATTCACTATTGGTCTGTAATAATAATTTCTTGTAAACAGATACTGGGGCAATTAGTAAAAAGGGGAGGGTTCCTATATGATTTTTGTGGGGAAATCGGGTAGAAATCCTGCTTTAGGTTTATATTATGATGATTTGCAATAGAAATCATGCTTTAGGATTATGTTGTGCTTATCTGCAATAGGAATCATGCTTTAGGTCTATATGCTATGTTACTTGCATTAGAAACATGTCATAGGTCTGTGCTATTTGCATTAGAAATCTTGCCTTAGGATACTCACGTTTACTGCCTTTGCATATTAGAAAACATGTTATAGTTCATCGCTTCATTTCTGATTCTGCATAAGTTGTCATCACCTGGAAATACTGTCATTAAGCTACCGCTATAATCGCGCTTAATAAAATGACCATCTTTCTCTGTGCATCAGAAATCCTACTTTAGGACTGCAATTGCATCTGCTTTGAATCATGTCTATCAAGAGATTTATAAAACAACCCCAACACATAGACATCATGTTCTAATATAAATGCGCATGAAATCAACTCTTGTAACAATCAGCACCTAGACCAGCATGCTTATAGGATTTAATGAAACTCAAGCTATTTTAACTAATCCCCAGAATTACGATTGCGTGTTTATAGGGCATTATAGGTCCACGGCTAGGCAAGCCTTAGGTAATTAAATGGTCTTATAAAGCTGTGAAATTATGCTCTGTTTATGTGTGAAACTGCTCAGGTTCAACAGATTTTAAAATTAGTAGGCAAACTGATTAGGTTTATATCACCTCGCTTTAAAATAATGCTGCATATTCCATGTTTGTGATGCTCATTTAGATACCCTGTTCTAGGACTTCTCTGAAATTATCTGAAATCTGTGTTTAAGACATGCTACTTATTTATTTATGTGTGGAGGTAAATATGAGCCCCCCCCCCCCCAACTGTTTCTCTATTTGATAGTCCTATATGTTCTTTGTTGTCGCTTGGATTTTACCTTTTAAACACCTTAGGAGGTTCTAGAACTGCCTAAATTTAGAGGTCCTAAACACCTCCAGGGCCACCAGGAAGGGACGGGTAAAGCACGCCTAGAGTTCGTTAATTAAAACCGCTTATATAACCGCTAAGGGGAGGGTAATTAGGTAGTAGAGGATATGACGACATGTGCGCTAATGCCACGTGTAACCCCTCTATTTGAGGAAGGCTTACCGGGTGTTGTACAGATGTGATCCTATAGGCTAACAAACCTAGGACTTCCCTCCTTTATTCACATATGTGTGCTTAGACTGCCTAACTTTCTTTAGTCACATATGTGTGCTTAGACTGCCTAAACTTCCTCTATTTGCAAATATGTGCTTAGACTGCTTATCTGTTAAATGACTAATTCACATAATTGAGTTCGGCCGGGACCCACCGTTGTGGACCGCGAGGGTGCCTAACACCTTCCCCTCAAGGTTATTTCGAGCCCTTACCCTAATCTCTGGTAATGCAACTAGTTATATGATTTAATTGCTCTAGATGCCCTAACGCACCTTAATCCGTTAGGTGGCGACTCTTCAAATACCCAATTCCCAAAAGGAAACGAGTTGTTCCCAATGAATGTCGAAACTCGGACCTCCGCGAGGAGAAAACGGGGCGCGAAAATGATATTCCCTACTCCCGAGTGACCTGTCAAAGCCGCTCTTGATCATCAGGCCCCGGCCGCTCGGCCCTCGATCACTTCTTTTCTCGTTCCTAGTTAGGTGGCGCCCGGATCGTTTCCCCTCCAGTCCGCGTTGTATGGCTGATATAGATCTCGGACTGGCCTTGGCTCCTGATCAATGACTCTCATATATCTATCATCGGTTTTATAGGGTAAACAGATCCAGAAGGAGCTCCGAGCTGATCGTCTTCGATCCTGATCTTCGATTGGTACCTGTTGTGGAGGTCGGCCCAGGTCACCGCTGGGTACTCCACCAAATTTTGTTTTAGCTGTTGAGAGGCCACGGAACATTAGAGGTCGATCCCTTGAGTGAATTCCTGAACAGCCCAATCATCCGCGACCAGTGGCAGATCCATCTATTCCATCTGGAATTTTGACACGAACTCCCTGAGCATCTCGTTATCTCTTTGTTTGACCTTGAAAAGGTCTGGCTTTCTGGTCTCGACCTTGATGGCCCTAGCATGGACCTTTATGAAGGCATCTGCAAGCTTAGAAAATGAGTCAATCGAATTGGGATACAAGTTGTGATACCATATCATTGCTCCCTTGGACAGAGTTTCCCCAAACTTTTTCAGCAACACCGACTCGATTTTGTCATCTTCCAAGTCGTACCCTTTGATGGCGCATGTATAAGAGGTTACGTGCTTATTTGGATCCGTGGTCCCATTAGACTTGGGAATGTTGGGCATTCGAAACCTCTTCGAGATCGGCTTTGGTGCCGCGCTCAGGTGAAGGGCTTCTGGATAAATATTTTGGAATCCAATCCCTTCAGTATCGGAGGTGCCCCAGAATCTGATCAACCCTACAGTTGTATGTTTCCACCTTCTTGTCGTTGGACTGAATCTTTTTCTCGCCTGACTCCACCCGTTTTGTTAATGCTTCGAGCATCTTCATTACCTCTGAAGCTTCTCCGGGGTCAGCTCCACTCGGTCTCACGGCAGCTTGTTCATTTCTCCATATTTTCCCGAGATTGTTCGGGCTCGACCCTATTAGGGACATGGCTTTGGTTCTGTAGTTGTGCTATAGTCGCTTGCTGAACTTGCAAAATTTTGAAAATCACCCGTAGGCTCACCCCATCACCTTCATCCTCGGACGCTTCTCGGGTCGTTGGCCGGGGTCCCCCGCGAAAACTATTTTTGGGGTCAGTTGGCAAATTGATGTTGATGGCCACCTACGAGTTAGCATCGACCGGGTCGGAAGCTGGGACACCATTGGGATCAGCAGGAAGTACATATTACTAGGCACCACATTGTTATTTTCACCATGATGGCCTGACTCCGTGTCAATGTTCAAGTGAGCAGACTGAGAGTTTGACATTCTTAGGCTGACATATCAAATCAACACTATTATCCTTAGCCCCATGGTGGGCGCTAAACGGTTTACCCCAAAAATGAGTAACAATTAAATTTGTAAGCAGTTTAAAGGATACGTGGTTTAATTCAATACGAATAATTAGGAATAACAGATAGATGAACTAAAGACAAAATAAACGATCAAACCAATTGCAATGTAATGACCAAGCCTGATCTTTGATTGAACAATGAGACTCGTCCTCGATTGGGCCCTCAGTACAAGCTCGGTCATGAGTAAAGAAAAGAACAAACAAGTAATGCCTCGAACAGTAGCTAGAAGACAAAAGTAAACTTTTATTGTTTTGAATTGTGTGTTACCATGTCTCAGATCAAGAAAAATATCCTTTTTACAAAATATACAAAAGACATATTGTATAAAACTTGTATAACAATTGTATTTAAGTTGTATGATATTGTAGTTGTATTTAAGTGTGTAGAAATAATGTATAAAAGTTGTAGATAAGTTGTAGATTCGTTCGTTTGAATCCTAAAAATATGCTCAGCTTGTAAGCAAACAGAATAGTACGTACACTTTAATTTTAAATTTCCCCTAACCCCAAATTCAATGTCAATCGTTTTGCTCAAAATTTGTCCCGTGGAGGAAAGTCTTCCAAATAATGGACCCATGTCAAAATTTTGTTAACAGTGATGGGTTTGATTTTTGTTTAAGTTTAGGAAATTCTCAAGTCCTTTTCTTTTCTTTCTTGGAACCTTCCCTTTTCATCGTACATGGGAAAACAACTACGTAGCATAAATCATTTGGCATTCAAGTATTATTATTATAAATTTCCTCGTCATTCCTAACAGTTTAATTAACAGAACAATGGGGGAGCCTTGAGGGCTGGAGCAAAATAGTACTGCTGATGATCTTGAGGGCTGGAGCTGGTGGTAGCTGCTTAACTATTTTATCAGTGAAATAGTGTAAAAGAATGGAAGATGTGGAGAGAAAGGGCAGAGAGGAGGAAAAAAAGGGAAAGGGTGTAACTAAATCCCTTGATTGAAGGCACAAATAATGGATTTGGGAGCCTTTTAAGGTGAATTGTATATATTTTGTAAACAAAACTTGTTTATGCCGGGTAATTAGCTAAACATGAACATTAAGGGTAATAAAGTTTCAAACTGTGTATAGGAATGAAAAAACCCTAATTTCCCAAGATGGAGAACTCAGTTCCAGCTTTAACGATGTAAAGTTTAATACAAAATTATAGATTAACTAATTGCAATCAGTGATTGTCCTTTTACTCTCCTTTGCCTTTCTTGGGTGAGTGATTTAAGTCTCTTCTCGAATCATCGTCATTCTTTCATATTGAAATTTGCTATCACCAATGTTTCTCGCTTGCCAAAATGAAATTTATGAAATCATTAACAAAGTTAAATAAATTGCTTATTTGAAAGATCGAATTGTACACAGAGACCATTACGGCACCTTGGCATGTTTTCCTCTAATTAATCGAATCTCGTATTCCTAATAATTTGCATGAGTACAAGCTCTCTCGAAGCACCACACGATAAATAACAACTACTAATACTACTAACACGCCTTAATCTCAATTACTTTGAGACTGGATATAGGAATCATCACTGTTTATGTAGACCACTACACACACACACACACACAAAAAAAAAAAAAAAAAAAAAACACTTCAATCTCTCCCCCACGGCGGCCCCTTTTTCGCTCACAAATGACCAAAACTTTCGTGTGGTAAAGGTAATAAAGTGAATGTAAACAAATGTTGAAATCAAACTATCGAACAGAGGACAACGGGTTCAAGCCCGAATAATTAACTAACAGATATTCCGAGAAATATCGAATCAGTACGAAAAGAATAGAAACGTACTTGCATATAATCATGAAGCTAATGAATCTGATATTGCTGTTCCGAAAATAGAAAGGTGAAAAGCAGTTCGTTCCACATATCAGGCACACCAGGTAAGCAGTAATGGCTACAATCTGGAACTGATGGATTGTCACTCCAATTACCAACATGTGCATCACTTCGGTATGCCCCCATTGGAGTGACATGCAGCAGTGTCACAGGGATTGCTACATTTTTCACAGTATCAATTATCATGTCCGAAAATGCACTCTTATCCTTGCCGTTGGTGTCCGACCAGGGCTGTCGTGTCACGTTGCATTTTTCAAGGGGTCCAGCACTGATTCAAGCATAAGAAGGCTCTTATCAAATTTAGAAAAGAGATAAAAGTGGAGAATACACAGCTCTTACACAAACTAGATCCAACTATGGGACAAATTGACCTTTAATTATGGCCTAGACAGAAATTTTAAAGGAAGTAAAAAAGCCAAGACAAAGGATACCAACACATTATATTAGTAAACTGAGCATACCTCCAATGAGTAGCTTCAAAAGTCCGAAAGAATACACGTGTTCTATCAGCGTTGATCTTATTCTCGATCCATGATTGCCAAGTAGTTAAGGCTTTATTGAAGGCACCATTTATTGTCATTCCGAGTTTCATCTTTCCATCAATCTGGAAGTACCAGCCCCTGTCTGAAGAAGCATGTTAGAAAAGTTCTGTGGACAAATTGGTAAAGTAACTTCGCTATAAAAAGTGCAGAATAGTGGAGCATCTTCAAAAAAGCATTTACTAGCACGTAAAACACATAAAGCTCCACGGCTTTAACTGTAATAGAATTCATCTTAAAGTACTTGATAAGTAAGAGGAGAAGTAGCTAAGTTGCTCGGACACGGGTGCGCGTATCCGACATGGGTGCGGATCTAGAGGTCAGATCCTTCAAGATGTAAATTCTAAGATTTGAGGATATGGACCCTAGTACAGATACGGGTGCAGGGATCCAGCTAAAAATAATTCAAAAAACTAAAAATATAAAATATCTCTAAATTATGAGAAATTTTGTGAAATACTTATGTATAGCTTGTAAAGTGTAATTTTTTTTTTCTCAAGTTGTAGGTGCAAAGGATTGATTTCCCATATGAAGTATGCTATTTTCTTCAAATTTACCCTAGTTTTGATTCTGATTTCGGGAATCAAATTGTATCTTGCCTCGAATTTTTGCATCCGTCGTGGTCAAAGTACCCAAAATTATTTGACCAGATCCGGTATGGATCGCATACCCACACTCATACAGCCATACCCACACCCATACCCACACTCATACAGCCATACTAGTGTCACGTCGATACGAGTGCGGCATCTAAACTGCCGTGTTGGAGCAACTTAGAGAAGTAGTACAATTTCTTGCATAATTACACTGTCTGATGGAAACTCTCTCCCTCTCACACACACAATCACGCCTGAGCAGAGTAAATCTATCTAGTATGATCCCTATACTAGGCATTTGAAATCTAAAGGCTCTACTTTTATCCATAACAAATCGATTCTTTAACAACAGAAGCTACAGATATGGAAATGTAATTCATACGGTGAGGGATCTTTTTATCAAGTTTTGCTGCATAATGATGTTGAACAAGCATTAAGACATCCCTTATTTGCAACTCATGTATTATGTCGAAGATCTAAGTTAACTTTCCTAGTTATATTTAGGGATTTTTAGCATGACAGTTAACCTAAAATTTTCAAAATCTAGATAATAGCAGTCTTAGGCACATGTTGAACTAGAACTATTATCAAGTAATTGAGCTTTAGTTGCAAAAGCTCAAATGAAATAAGAATAGCACAATAATCCAGTTCCAAAATATAGGCCATGAGTCAACTTCAAATACATAAGTCTGGGAAGTTTTTCATTTACCTTGAAAGTGTTAGTTTTCTGACATGGAGGCTGATCCTCATTATCAGGAAAACATTGACTAACTCTATCAAACAAAAATTGAATTTAAAAGGTAGGCATGATAAACGACAAATTTTTGTGCACTACTTGAGAGACTGAGTTAAAAAGTTTTTATACAGTAGGACGGTCTTTATAATCAGAATAACTATAATCATGTATCATAGGGAGATACTAGGGGAACCAGGAAGAGAACATACATTTTGTTCCCTATAAGAAATAAGCAAACAAAAAATGAGATGAACAGGAGAAAAAGGTCCATTTTCGAAGCACGAAACACAAGTGCTACAAATCTACAAGTCTCCGAAACTTAGCTTATATCGAATTAGAGGTTTTTTTTTTAGTTTCAAAGCGATATTCATCATTGACAAATAATGTTCTTAGTTCATAAACTCATGCAATTAAATAGGTTGACGGCTTATCCTACAATTATTTGATGATCAGTAACATCATCATGATAGGTGACCTCAAAATTTCAAAATCTAGAAAATGATAGCCATAGGCATATGCTGAACGAAAAATTGTTATCAAATAATTGAGCTTTAGTTGCAAAAGCTCAAATAAAATAAGATTAGCACAACTGTGATGAATCTACAAGTCTCCTAGATTTAGGTAATATCAAATTACAATGAAATAGCTTAGCTACTTATGCTATAATTATTTGATGATCAGTAGCATCATCATTTATTTAACCAACTCAGGAGCATGTTAAATAATCAGCAAAGACATAATTGATAAGTTTCCAAGCTAAAGTTCTAACACAAGAGAGTTAGCAGTATATAGTATGAAAACACTTTTCATCTTAAGCAAGGGAAAAACACCAAATGAAAGTAAAGATTCTTGCTAGAAATAATAACTGACATCTTCAAGAACAAGGAATTCAGCATGACCAGATCACTTACAGTTCAAAAAGCTTCGTGGGAGTCCACCAATGACCGGTATTAAAAACTAGAATATCAGAATCAATCCATTCCTTGTTTATGTCATCCAACTTATCAAGCATTAGTGCTTTCTTGATCCTCTTTGGTGATCGTTTTGGTGGCGATCCAGGTTGTACTAGGAAAATTGACCTATAAAACTCAACTGTAAAATTAAAGGGGCTAAATCGCACTTGTAAATGCCTAATCTGTCTAGTGATCTTTCTTCCTTTGACTTCATATACACTCTTCTTGTCCTCAACACCACTCATCAATATGCATATCATAGACTCCCATTGAGTTCTACTTAATGAATCACCAACAAAGACAATTCTTTTTCCCCTTAACTTTTCCAAGATTACATAAACATCAAACCTTGGAATTTCACAATTCCTAGGTTTCCACCTCCACTTGAGATACTCTTTATCCTTCCTACCATTATCTAAACAACTAAAACCTTGTTCAGCAAATGGACATTCTGATGCATTGTACAAAGGATAACTTTCATCAGGCACCCAATTTCCAACAAATAAATTGCATTCACCACTAAAGTTAGTATTTGTTCTATTATCTCCTGCATTTTCAAGAACAATTGGTTGTGGAAAAGAATTTGTATTGTAGAAATAACCATACCCTATTGCCACAAGAAACAACAATAATAAGGATCCAATTACAAGGACCCTATTGAAAGAATGAAAAACCCAAGTGTGACAATGCTTCAACTTGCCAAAGTTCAAATCTTTAGGCCTAAAATGGCCAAAAGAATTCAACTTCAACCTATTCACCATCTATATGTACACCAAGAATGAACATTAAGTTGTAAAACAGACCTTATAGCAACAGAAAAATCAAGCTATATCTCCAAACAAAGATGAAAAATCAAGATTTTGAAGAGAACCCACGAAGCTAAACAGCTTAATAGAGCTGAGTATTAGCAAAAAAGAATGAAGTATAAAACTGTAAGTGGATCTTGAAGCTTCTTCAGTTGAAGTTGTTGATTAGGACATGCAGAGGAAAATATGTCTAAGAACTGAGGGTAAATTTGTCATTTCAACTTCAAAGTGGCTTTGGCTTGTCCGCATGTGATCTATGAACTAAATTTGGTGGAGATATGATGTTAGAGTAAATATAGCATAGAACTAAATTTATAGGTTGGAATCAGCTGATAGCTGGAACAAATATGCTTGTGTACGGCTGCATCTCATTGGTTAACATATTCAAATAGTGGAAATTTTTGCCTTCTTTTCTAGTTTGTCTTTCCTTAATGTTTCTGTGTTCAGGGAAGTATCCTTTTGTAACATACTTTATGTTGGTCAAATACTGCATCAACCTCACCACAAATAATTCCATTTAATTGGAAATTCAGAAGAAAAAGTTTATTAGATAAGTGATACCCAAGAATTTATATTATTATAAAAGTGGGAACCTAAAAAGTTAAAAGTTGAATTACCAAAATGCCCTTCTTAACCTAAATATTTTACTTCTAAATAACTACTATTATTTAATAATACTATTTAAATGATATTAATGGTTAAATTGGATTTTGTCTTTCTCGAAAGTCTGTGACCCTCCAATTTTACAACTAACCGTTTGAGTTCTACAATTAGTTATCGGTGGCTTGTAATGAAAAGCCACATTATTATATACAAGTTTATGTCGGCCAATGAATTGAGAAGAAAGCCACGCTTTTAACATTAATATGCATTAAGAAAATTCCAATGTCGCGATTTTAAGAAACTTAAAGTCAGTTCATTATTTTAATCTTAATTACACCTCTTAAGAACCGCGAGATGTATCATCTGGATACCTTTTTTTTCATGGAATACTTGATGATGGAGAACTAAGCCGTGGCAGAGCCTCCCCTAGAGGACTTCGTTCCGACGAAGTGCCCCATTGCTGCCGATTTTAAGGTGGAGAATACACCCTCGACACCGGGTCGATGTGAACCAATTTCGAGATATATATGTACCATTACCGACGGTCTCCTCGAGAAGGTGAAAGAGGAGTCAAAATGGGTAGGCAAAGACATAGTAGTCCCAACCCCCCAGGACACAATAGAATAATGAATCTTGAACTGAATGCAGAATTCTATGGCTTTAGCGTACAGAGATGAGTTTAGAATCCTACATGGTCTTTCCTATTTGTGTTTTCTAAAAATCTCTAAAAGTTTTGACTCACCCTCTTAAGGTGTCCTTATTCAAAGATTATTTGATGCCAAACTTGTTATTAGCATTTTCTTAACTAAAAAGTTGAATTGCTTAAATACCCTTGTAAATTACCCTAAATACCCAACTTATACCAAGAATTAAAACATCAAATTTTAAATAAGACACCAAATTTATTTGAAAGACATGATCCTTCATATTAGTGAAGCTAGCGACTCTTCACAACCTTAAAGTCTAAAGGCAAACGTTTTATTGTTGGGCAAGCATATCAATTAAAATACAAAGTAAGAAAATAACAGAAAGCCTAAATCGAGAGGCTACTGAAATTTAGAATAAAAAAGTTCATGATTTTGATTGATGCAGCAGCTTCTTGCAAGGTAGGTTTTCATGGAATTATTTCTACTTTTTATACTCCTTGAAGATAATGGAGAAACTTTATAAAATTTTGAAATTACCCTCTCCGAATGTTGGCTTAATAATCTGTGATAATTTGTTTAATGATAGCAATACTATTTTTCAATTCTTAGTTTATGCAAGCAAAGTAAAACAATATAACGTGTCTATAGTGCACTATTGATTCATGATTCATGAAAATAAGCCAAATCCAATGATTCTCCACGTTGGCTAATTTACTTTGTTTTAAAAAATTTACTGAAAATTAAACTATCATATAAGGTTATTTAAGTAACTTTATTATTGTCCCATTTTTATAGATGTATGTGTATATATGTAAATATATAAACATGTATTTATGGTGAATTCAATTTTTAAGGTACATGTCACAAAATTATATCAATGTATTTATTTAAGTATGTGACATTATATTTGTATAAGTACGTGCACTTGTATAAATTTTATTTAATACTTTATATTTTACTACAAATTTAATATTGTATCCGATGTAAGTTTGTTTGTTCTCTTCTAACAGGTTATTTGGATTACCCGATCATGCAATCGGTAATACTTTTATTTTTTTACTAATGATAGTTATTTTAAATGACTAAAATAATAATAGCTACTTCCAGTGCAAGATTTTAATTTAATGACAAGACTATATTTGGTAATTCTTTATATGAATTTTTGAATTTTCTTATGTTTAGAGGATATCCAATCATCTTGACACCAACAAACAAGCTACTATATATTGATCCACATTTATTATTTGCAAAAAATTTATGTGATGACACTATCTTTGGTAATGTTTTTATATAAGAATTTACTAATTATGTTCGTACATGTTTGCTCACTTATATTATTGTCGTAATTTTCAGATGTAGTTTGTATTTTAGTAACAGTAAAATAATATATTGTAAAAGGACGAAGTAAAATAAGAGAGATAGTAGTTATAAATAAAAAACTAAGTTATTATTACACAAGTTCATGAAAGGTGTTCATTTTATGTTCTATATAGATGAAATATAATGCAATATATGCCGCTTGTAAAATACAAGTTTAATTGTTGATTGTTCATCTTCGTAAATTTAGAATACTCAATTATTGTCCTCTATAAACAAATCACCATTCCACATTGATCATTCACATATATACTTAATTCTGTCATGTACTTATATACTCAAAAGCTTTATATCAATAGTAATGATGATATTATTATATAAAATCAAGTACCATCGGACTCGGCATACACGTGCAACGCACGTGCCGAAAAACTAGTTACATATATAAGTATGTAGCTAAATGCATGATAATAAGATAGTTTATTAAGAAAATTATTCGAAATTGTCATATTTAGAGATTGAGATTGTTCATTGAAATTAACAAAAGTTACGTCTCAGTCCTAAACTAAAATTTCAATTGCTTAATACATAAATTTTTCAACTTGTAAAAAAAAATATCTTTTACACTCTTTAACTTTGCAAAGAAATACACCTTAACTTGTAACCTCCTAAAAAGGCCACGTGGCATGCACGTATGTTGCAAAAAAAAAAAAAAAAAAAATAAAGCGTGTGGAATGGCTAAAAATATTCCCAAATCCCTTTGTTGTACATTTTTACAATTAAACTTTTTAACCTATTTTCTCTCTTCTCCCATTTCCACTCCATGGGAGAGGAGGAAGTGAGAAATATATAATTCAAGAGTGAGAGCTTATAAATTCTTTTGGAGATTACAAAGCTAAAGTGTAAGTGAAAAGGGCAAAGAAGCTCCTTTAATTTATCTTGTTTGGTAGAGAGGGAAAGAAAAAGGAGAAGCCTAATAAGAAGGATATATGGTGTTTGTGAAAAAAACGGAAGGAAAAAGAAAAGAAAAGTAATAAAAAATACAGTCGAAAAATCAAATAAAGGAATTATGGAATGAGAACATGGCATTCCTCGAGTTGTACATTTTAGAAAAATGACACTTGAACAAGGAGAGGCTCCTAGCACTTTCTACAATATAGTCAAAAATAATGCAAATAAGCAAAAGAAAAAAAAAAACAAAGAAACATAAATAGCAGAGAAAAAACAAGGAAAAACAACTCAAGAAAAAGAAAGTAAAAAATAAAATCAAAGGCAGCGCTAGGATTTCAATCTTATGGGTTCGGGATTCTAATCTCTTTAAGTTACTGAGTTTTAAATTAATAATTTGTTTATATTCAATAAATTTTTAAAGACAAATACAAGGTTTAAATGAAAGCTATTGGGTTCGGCTGAATCCGCTATCGGGACTTTATCCGTTCCAAAAAAAATAAGAAAGAAAAAGAATTAAGAAAGATAAAGGGTCACTTGCCGATTGATTTCAATTTTAGACAAGGGGTTAAACTAGTTGACTCCATGTGATTTTCCCTCCCCACATTCTCCACGTCTACGCTACTACTTTCTTCTTTTCTTTTCTGTTTGAATTCTCTATTGTGATCGAATGATAATGGGAGGGATGTGTTGTTTAAATTCTTTTTTTAATAAATATTATGACACGTATTGTGCTGTGAATAGTGTACTCTAATATTATCGCTATGGTATAAGCTAGAACTTGTAATATTACTTTTATACTAAAACTTTGGTATAACTTATCCCATATAATATATTGGACAAATTATTATAGTCCTGATTTTAATGCCACAATTATAATATAGGATATCATGATTTCAATATTATGACAAATATGATGCTATGCATTTCCAAGAAAGAATTTTTTTGGGTCATCTAAGGGGTTCTAGGTGTAGAAGTGTAAAGTTGGAGCGTGCAAAATGATGCCCGCAAAAACAAAATAGAGCAATTTATGTAAAATACCCGTTAAGCTTAAACTAATTACGCGTCTTTACCCATTTGAAAATTAGTTATTATATACCTACTCAATTAAAACTAATTACCCGACAACCTACCTACCTATCACACTTTTCTTACCCATTTGGCTAACATAACTTGATTTGGATTGAATTGGCTTGGATTGATTTGATTTGGTTTGACTTGATTTTAATAGTTTAATTTGACTTTATTTGGTTGAAAAGGCTGAGCATTGAAAAAAAAAATGAAATGGGTAGGGGGAAGATCTGTTTTGACGCGTTCGAATACCATCACAAGATGTTAAAAGAAATTATTATTAATTACAAACCAACAAAGAAGAAGGGAAAGCATACATATGGACAGATGTAAGTGATCAAAGACCTAAATGGTTTATGAGAAAGTATAAGTCAAACGAAAAGAGAAAAACAAGCCAGTTGACACACGTCGTAAATGACATTTGGTTGGTTTTATCACCTTCACCGTAACAAACAAAGAAAGAAGACATGGCAGTGATCGTTAAACACAAATAACAAACAACAAGAAAACAAGAGAAAACAGCCAAAGATACAAGATAAAACCAAAGATACTAATTGTTTTGCTCAAAAGATAAAATCGTGATCGAATATAATGAGACCTAGAAGTTCGTATTATGCTTGTGATTGTTTCAATAACTTGGATATTCGAGAGAGTAAGAGAAAGCTAGTTTAGAGAGAGAGAGAAATAGAAAGAAAGATAGCTTATTATTGAAAGATCCCATGCCTTTTACAACATTGGGATTCTCCTTTATATAACAAGAGAATCCCCTCAAAAATAATAAAATAATACAGAGATAGGTCACGTGCTTTCGAGGAGACGACGAGACCTAAGGGCACGTTTTCACTCT